CTTACTAATTAAATGAATTGTGACGCCAGTTTTCCCGAAATCAATTTGTTTCCGTGTCTATCACGTTTTTTCTAATAATGACGAAATATTTGAATATGCAACTTTGGTACGTGACACTACGTGAGTCAAATGGATGGCTAATAAAAACGTACAGTTGATCAACTAAAATTATGCAATTGAATTTTATTATTGCATGTACGGTGTACAGTAATTGAACTTATTAATATTGCAAAAATATATTATGTAAAATTACACAACACGAAAATCATAAGCGCAGCACGGACACGCACCAAGGGGAGAGACTTTATCGACAGTGCCAGAAAATGGATATGCCAAATAGTTCCAACGTTGAAAATGGGTGCGAGTGGCGTTTCGAGCGGTCCATTGTCCAATATAAAACATCATTTCAGGTTAGGTCCCTGTGGTCCAGCAGACAGATATCCACGTAAAAAGATTCTATAACATATCATTTTTTTCATACAAGCAGTAGATTGCACGAGCAACTTCTTATCTACATCTGCTTTGTAGATTGCACCTTGGATGATACTTTAATTACACTGTGAATACGATAATGCAGCCAAATGGAGCCGAGATGCACATTTACATACATGACCATAATTTACCATTGGTTAAAGATAACGTGACCTCAGTGAAGAGATAACGTTTACTCCGAATTAATCTGTAACACGAAATTGGTAACCCAACATTTGTAATTACGTATCCACAATAAAGTCAATCTACAATTGTCAATCTACAATTGTCATCAATCTACATCAAATCTACAATTGTCAATTTTTGAAAAATATTTTTTCGAGATTTATAAAGATTTCTATTACAATTGTGAATTTTCGATTTGAATGCCTTATTGAAAATTTACGATAAAGAAAAAATTGACAGCTATACATGCATGCTAATTTAATTTAAATTAAATATAATAATAAATATTATTTAAAATTTTTTCTAGGGTTTTTTAGCGGAATTACAGCGTTCCATAAAAATGTTGAACTGTACACATGAATTATATAGCGTCGATCAATAATAATGTGATCTTTGTCCTAAAACAATATGGAGTGCTAATCTAATCTAATCTCTAAATATGAATGCGAAACAATATACAGAAATAGAATTCTCGTCGAGATTTAATATCAGTTAATAGGAATAAAAGACTCGTTTAACAATCATTGCTTTCACTACAAGTTTTTACTGGCAGGATGACGTTT